CCAGCCCCGCTCTGCGTGGAAGAAGAGGGCGGGGACCGGCGCGGGGAGGAGAGCGGAGGAGGAGAAGGGGGCATGACTCGTGCAACTTGCGGCGGGCATCTGCCGAGCCTCTGAGCCGGCGGCGGCCCGGGGCCGGGACTGCTGCTCCGCCGATCCCACCCAGCCCACCCCGCCCCGGCCGACGGCTGCGGCTGACCTGGATCCTCGGAGCACCCGGCGGCCGGCAGTGATCTGCCTTCGTCTTCCGGGCGGCTTTCTGGAGCGCGAGGAGCGCTCTCCTCGCGGCCCCTCTCGCCGGACCCCCGGCCCCCGATGGCCCGGATGGGGCTTGCGAGCGCCGCTGGACGCTGGTGGGGACTCGCTCTTGGCTTGACGGCATTCTTCCTCCCAGGTAAGGCGGTTGCGCCTCTGCCCCCCTCCTTCGCCCCCTATCCAATACCTCCCCGGGGCTGAGAGCTGGGTGGCGGGCACGACTGGGTTGTAGGGAGTAAAAGAAGCCAGAAAAGTTGGGTCACGGTTTAGGTAAGGGGGGGTGGAGGGTGGCAGCGCGGAGAAAGAGACGTTTAGAAGCCGAACAGCCTGCCCTGCAGGGAAGCAGTCGGATGCACGTCTCTATGTAGCAAGAAAGCACTTTCTCCGCTCAATTTTTCATAAAAATAATAATATGTAATAGCGTTCTATTTATTTAATAACCAGCTCTCAGCTCGGGAAGCAGTTTGGAAACACTGCGTGTTACATAAATGCAAAATAATCACCGTAATCACCGTTTCGGGGTATGAGACAACAGCCCCAGGGGGAGGGCGTCACTCTCTGAGCTGGTGGGCTGTGGCAGGAGTGGGGTACGGAGGGGGGGGAGGTCTTCGTTTCTCTCGCTGGCCTCTTTGCCTGACGGTTTCGGGCGCTCGGGCTCCTTCCCGCCCCACGGCTCCCCACAGCGGGAGCGGAGAGCCCGCTCCTGCGGCAGAGGCACCTTCTCGCTCACCTGCGGTTCTCTTCCCGAAGGGAGAGGCCGGGGAGGCGCAGCAACGAAACCTCCCGGCCTTGAGCCGGGCTGGGCTTCGCCTCGGAACTCCGCTGCCAATTTCGGGGGCTCTCCCCGGAGCCGTCGCCGCGGGCTTCGAGCCAGCCAGGTGGCTGCATGACCCACTTTCTCGAGGGTGCCCCGAGAGTCCTTCACAGAAGTGCCGGCGTCGGAGGAGTTAACCCGACAACCGACCCTGGGGTGGCCCGCGGTGGCCCCTCTAACGGGTGGGGTGGGGGGCGGAGGCTGGGACCGGCCCGGACTTATTGTGCTGGGGAATGAACTGGAAAATGCGTTTAGAAGGCAAATCCGACCGAGTCCTCTTGCCTGAATTTAACCCTTTCCCTTCCCTGGGGAAACTGCCTGTCTCCCAAGGTGGCTGGGGACCTGCGAGCCTCGGGTGGTGGGGGTGAGGGGACCTCCAGTCCTTTGGGAAGAAATCTGAGAAGACCTCCCGCTCCGCTAGGTGTGGGTTTGGAGGGTGGGGCTTGGCTGGAGCACGTGGTCCTGGCGGAATAAGGGGTCTGAGTACAGAATGACAAGCCCAGCTCCGGGCAAGAATACTAGATCGCAGGCGCAGCTGGCAGCAAAGGGGAGGAGATGCTGCGCTGCCGCAGATTCAGGGCAGTTTGTTATCTAGGGCCAGCCTGGCGGCAGGGGTTCACTCCTGTCAGGCTAGAACCTGGCCGCATTCAGTTCTGGACCCCTGGTGCTACCAGCTCACTGGCAGAGCTCAGCAAATCTCACAGTGGTGGACGGCATCAAAAACAGTTTGTGGAAGCCTACACTGGTGCCCCTGCCCCTGACTGCAGCCCTGGGGTGCTGCCCTGCTAGGTGTGGGCTGGAGGGTGGTGGTGTATTCTAAGGCACCCAGATGTCACTGCCCTTTCAAAGGGGCATGACTGAAGCCCTCCCCCAGAGGGCAGTCTTAGTGAGAGCGGGAGGGCTTCTCACTCTGCACCTTCCGGGAGGCTGGCTGGAGATAGCAAAAGCTCAAGCTCTACGTGGGGTCTGACACCAGGCACCCTGCAGTTCCGTGGGGTCTGACACCAGGCACCCTGCAGTTCCGTATTGTCCACACCCAGAACCCAGGGAAGGGAGAGTTTCCTAGTTATTAGTCTGGAACACTGGGGGTTAACCTAGTCCTGGGTTGGACAAAGGGCAGGAAGGTTTGGAGGAAGGGGGCCAGGCTCACCCCCCTCTCTTCCCTGCTTTTGTTATTCTCCTCCATTTCCTGATACACAATGGTTAATTCCTTCTTTGGGGGGCTGGAGGCCTGCCCTGCTCCCCTGCACTTGGAAGGGGGGCAGGAAGCTGACATGCTCACCTGGCTCAAACAAATGTGGACACTTCTCCACACAAAACCCAGATGAGGGGTGGGGTGTCAAGAAGGAGCCTCAGCTCCATGAGCACTTACTAGCTTGCCTGCGCTCCCCTCCACTGGTCAGGGTTGTTATACTGGGGAGCATCTGCAGCAGCCTAAGTTCCCAACTCCCCGGCCCTTCTACCCAGCACCTGTGCCCCTGTGCCTCCTGTGAAGGGAGGAGGCAGGCAGGTATGACTGTGCCCATGTGGTACTTGGCCAAGAGCTGGTAGATCCAAAGTTGCTGTCTTCTCTATAACCCCAATTTCCACCACCCAGAGGCTCTCTCCATTTGCCCCACTGCTGCTTCTGTCTGGGGACTTGCCATCCCAGGGCTCTTTTCTGGGTTCTCCTGGGGAAGGGAACATTAAAAGATGTAGGGGGGACCCTCCAGTGTATGTAATGGCCCCCTGACTTCAACATACTCCCTACCTGGCTACCAAAGGCAAACCCTGAAGTGTTTTCAACCATACACACTTTACCAGGCAGGGTATCAAAGCCCACAAATCCCTAATGTCACAATCTCTGTTTCCTGCCCATTAAGTCAGGGCAGGGGGCAGTGGGAGAGGGGCTGTGACCCAAAGAGGGGCTGGCACAGGCAGGAGGAGTCTTGAGAACCTGCCTTAGAAGCAGGTGCACTGAGCTGGGGTCCCACCTACACCACACCCTCCCTAATTGGCTTCCCCAAACCTTTTGTCTGGAAAGAGAACACACACCCCAGGTGTCATGCACACCCTCGGAAGACCTGTCAGGCAGCACCCCTTCTCTGGAGCCCGTGCAGAGCTCACTGTCATGGTGGTTTCCCTTGAAGCCCTAGCGTCAGGACTGTGGGCTTATTTCCCTCCCTCCCCGTCGCTCACAGACAGTGCCATGTCTGGGCTTGCTGAGCAGGACGTTAGAGCAGAACCAATTCTGCTGGCCAGGCTTGGCAGTGTGTGCGAATGGGACTCGCAGTGCCCGTTTCCGAGGCAGGCAGCGCGGTGGGGAGCGTCTCAGACTCAGTCAGTGCCAGAGGAAGGAGGAGAGGTAGCAGCACCTGAGCTGTCGCCCACCGCCTGCCCGCCTGCCCACCCGGGTTGTGAGGCCTGGGAGGGCTTGGAGCCTGCACTTCTGTGCCCAGCACTGGTGGCCCCTGGCTGCAGGATGCTGGGTGAGACTGATCGGGAGCCCTGCCAGACAGTGCTGCATCCCCCGCATCGGCCCCTTCCTTGCCCAGGACCCAGCTGAAGGTGCCAGGAGGGCTGCCCACTAAGCAATGGGCCAGGCAGAAGGTTGCCCATTCTGTGTGTGTGATGCTGCCATTGTTGAGCAGCTGACTAATGTTCATTGTTCAGCACAAACAGAAAACACCCCAGGGAGGTGTGAATGTACCTTCGATTTTCCTGATTGTATCTTCCCTGGTTAACCTGGTAAATTGAATGACTCCCACCTGGGGGAGGGACAGAGCAGGGAGTCTGTGTAGTCACCTGTTTCGCTGATTTTGTTTGAAGTTTGAATGTTAGCCAGTCTAGAGTGGACCTAGCCAGATGTGGGACTTGGGCTGTGCTAGTTTGGACCATCTGAGACCACCCAGCCTGCATGCCAGGCCTTGTGTGCTGGGGCTGGTTATCTACCACCCACGAGTCCCCGAGGACTCGTGGGGACGAGGCTGTGAAGGTGTGGGCGCTGCTGTCTGTGGGTCACCGTGGGACGGGCCCATAAATACACATCGAGTGCATGTTCACATGTAACTGATTTCTGATGGCTTTTCCACAAAGCGTTTGTACAGGGGTTGAGCCTAGATCATCTTGCAGGCCACGGTGTCAGTGGGGGTGACCTGGGAGGTCCTTGCAGGAGCTGCTGAGTCCTTTGGGAGAAGGCCGCTAAACACTGCTTTCTCTCCTGTTCTACCTTTGGCTTTTAGGAGGACCTCCACATCTTTGCAGGGAGACGCCTGCCTGGAGAGACTGTCGTCTCTCTCTGCCCTTTTCCTGTTGGAAAGAACCTAGTGTTAACCGGAGCCTGGCTTGTCCTGCAGCTTCTCTTGATCCCTGAATGGCTGGGGAGGGCTGTGGAGATAGGTTTTCAGCTATTAATTTAGCATCTTTGCTTCCTGCATAAAAGCTTGAGGAAAAGGATGGGGATGGGATGACAGTGGCATGCGTGGACGTTCTTCTTCACGAAACCCCAGCAGAATCACATGGGTGCCCAGGTCGCCAACACGTATGTGCCTGCGGGCATCCCGAGTTAGTACAGCTGAAAGCAAGAGGCCCTGCCTGGCAAGGGCAATGGAAAAGAAGGGCCAGAGTGGGGAGCAGGGCAGTCCTGGGAGCCCAGCGCCTTGTGCCCAGGTCCAGCTGGAGAGCGCTTCTCCCCCATGATGCCCATCCCTCCAGAGAGACCAGGTCTGCAGAGCCAGCAGCAGATGGGGCTGGGACTAGAGGTAACTTAAGATCAGAGCAGGGATCACCTTGCAAAGGGAATGCTTTGAGTTAGAGATAACACCCCTTAGTCCAGTTAACCCTTGAACCTCTGGATGCTCTGGTGCTGTTGGGAGCTGGGCAATGGGGAGCAGCAAAGACACAAGAAAAGGCATCGGACCTCATGTCTAAACCCTGACCCATCCCAAAAGGAGAGCTGAACTCAGTTCAAGGACAGATCCAAGAAAGACCTGAAAGACTTTCATGGTCACAGCAATCCCAAGCGTTGTCAGGGGTGGGGCAGTAGGAAGGTGTGATCCTCAGGGCCTCAGGAGATCTGTGTGGGCTTTTCAGTCTTCCAGACCAGAATCACAGTGGTCCCAACTCTCGGCAAGAGGGAGCAAAAGATAACTGTCCTCCTGCAAATGGCCTGACCGTGGTCACTCAGAGGAGTGTGACCGCAAAGAGGCCAGGTGAGCTCGGTTTAAATCCCAGCTCTACTCATTGCTAGCCGAGTGGACTTGGTTAGGACACATCATAGCCTCAGGTTCCCATCTGTGAAATGGGTTTCCGCTAATAGAGATTTCAAAAGAGGACTGTGAAGGTTA